ACCAAGCAGCAAGTCACCCAACTAAGGAACTCCTAAGGTGCAATCCTCCTTCCCGTTTCTCTTTTTGGAAGGCTGCTTACCCTGAATTCGTTTGGCTGCTTTTGCCTTTCCTTTGGCTTGCTTGCTGGCTTCTCTTGTTGCTGCTCTGGGGGTAGCGGTATAGCCGGCCGATGCCATGGACTAGACTGCACTGCAGCGAGTAGAACTGGTGCTGTCCAGGGCCGCTCCCTGCCGTGCTGACTAGGGCACCCGCGCGCAGCAAAGCCTGCCCTCATGGCTCGTTCTGGTATTGGAATCATCAGACAACTGCCCCACTCATTGGGTGAGTGGATGCTATTTGCTGTACTTTCTGCTCCAGATGAGCCTATTTTCCACTTTATAGCACTCTGCTGCATACACTGGATGATGGCGATGTTCCTCAATAAGTGTCTGAACAGTATGTGCTATGTTACAATCGTTTTTGCCCCCTCAGCTTGCAGAATTTGATTACGCTTTTACTGAGACGACTTTTTTGGTAGGTCTCTCAGGTTTGTGCGGGCAGCTTGGCCCTGCCGGAGGTTTTGTCTGGGCCTGCAGTGCTGTTCCCTCTCGGGACGGCACTGCTGCAAACAACTCATTGACCTACATGGGTCTGACGACAGAGCTAAGACTTGTCTTTGGATTCTCGTAGCCTACTGCGGACTGAGCCTCAAAGCTTTCTTGGCAACAGCAAGAACGACCGAAGCGGAAGAACCCTATGGATGCTTGGAAAAGCACATCTGAGAGGGGTGGCTGCCGTAGTGTATAGTTTGTCAATAGAACGTTTCAGTTTGTCGTTACTATCAACAGTCAACAGTTGCACAGATTTTCACGCTGTTTGCTGGGCCGTTGACTAGCTAACTAGTTTCAAAGTGCATGTTTCAACGACACGGTGGGATTTCCCTCCGTGTCCAAGGCAAATCCTGTGGTTTTTGGTGTGGGCGTTTTTGGTTGTGGCTCCGGCCCCTTTCTTTGTTTGCTTTGCTGTTTCCCCTGCTGGCGAAACGCAAATCTGGCCGGAGGATTTGCGTGTCGTCGCTGCTGTTTTTGGCTTCTTGTTGGTTTTTGATTTGCCGAGAGATTATGGAACCAAGGTGTTTCATAATGTTTTTAATTTGTTTACCCGCTTCTCTCAATGTTAGGACCGAGCCTCAGAGCGAAATTGGCCGCAACAGAGGGGAAAAAAAAGTGGAAAGACATGCCAAGCAGATGACATCATTGGAACGCGCAGTGAACCGGAATGGCCTGGCGCAACGTGCAAAGAGCCCAATCTCACTCGCACTGCGTGCGGTTGACATATTTGGGAAAAGACTGCATAGGTAGCGTCATAAAATGAAGAAGCTGTGACTGCGTCGCTAGAAAATGCTGCCTGATGCCAGCACTCCGAGGCTTGTTGATTGATGTGTGTGGGCAGACGAGGGAATGTACCACAAACAATGATGTGTTGCAGACGAAAGTTGATTGATGCCTGTCACGTTGATTGATGTGTAGAGCGTTGTAGAAATTGATTTGGTTGAAGCTTTGGAAACCACTGTACCCTGTTTGGAACCGAGAAATTTGGGTATCAAGACCTCAATAGTGTTGCCTGGGATGGATGCCAGAGATAGTGCCAGAGACAATGCCATGTATGAGGCAGAAAATGATCAACTCATTGGCAAGCTCATCGAGCTAGAACGCACCACAAGTGCATTGAGGTTAGTGCAGACGTTAGTCGTACTTCTGGAGCGGTTGATACCGCTGTTGGAAGAGATCAGGGCAATTGGCCGCAACAGTTTGGCTGTCATCGCTATGCTGAAAGATAATCTCCTGAGCGTAGAAGCGGAGTTACAGCAACGATCATGCGAAGTACGAGAACAAATACTAGCAAGGTATCATAGAGCGTTGACAGGCTGGCGAGAGCAATGAAGTGAGTTTGTATTCGGCCGCATTGACGTCCTCAGACACACTAGCCGCGCGCATTGTTGACTCACTGTGGGAGGACATGCGCAGCGAATCTTTTGTCAGCTCTCATCTCATGATTGACTCAGTGTGGGAAGACATGAATGACGACGGCCACCGCATCTTTTGTTGGCTGCCAGACCCATGGTTGACCCAATGTGGGAAGACTGGGGTCGCGACGACCAAATCAAAGCTGTTCGTGACATGTGTAGAGTTTGCCCCACTGTGGAAAGAAGTGCTACAGGTCTTGTCAGCATTTTGATCACAGCGAAAATATGGCATTCGTGCGGCAAACTGCATTTTATCGTTTCTGCACATTTGCTTTGACAGCCAGCTCCATATACGCGTTCTGTCCTTTTGCGGCCAGGTACTTTTCCGCTCTGTTGAAGTCGATGCCAACAACTGCAGGCTGCGCTGCAGATCTCTACCAAAGAACTATTTTATTTTTTGCGCGGCACCTTGAATTTTAGTGTGGCACTCGTGTGGCATTCGGGCGGCGACATTAAATTCGAGACCATCTATACGGTTGATCAATAAGATATCTACTGTGGTTAAGCTATGTAGAATAGATTGGTTCTTTGGGTTCATAATGTGCCAAGATATTGCAGCTGTCATGTAGTAACAAGATAGCACGCATGAAGCCTCTGTGTCTTGCAACTGGCGCAGGTGCCCATCCAGTGAGCTTCTTGGACGGAGGACAGGCGCGTGTCGCACGGCCCGACAATGAGTCAAGCAGTCTATGTCCTCGGGAGCAAAGGTTTGACCGAAAATGTGGGAAGAAGCGTGTGCAGATGCCTGGCGAACCGACACCTATGTGAATGTTCGCGACGCCTGTGTATTTCTGAACTTTGTGGTTGCTTGACATCTCTGGAAAAACCTGCACAGTTAGCGTCGTAACCATGGTGCTTGCCACTGTGACTGTGTCGTGCCTTGACAGGCATGCGCTCTGTACTTGTCTTCCACAGTTGCATTGACAACCAGCTACATTCGTGTTCTACACCTTTTGCGGCCAGGTACATTTCCTCTATGTCATCATCGTCGGATTCGTGGCTGTAGGAAAGGCGTGGTTGTCACGTAGCACATCTCGTTGCACCACATGGAGCACAGAAGATCATGGAACACATCACCCAGCCGATTCCAGGTCCGCAGTACTGCCGCATGCAGAGCAGCTGACATTGCAGCGCTGGCGAAAAAAATGGTCTGCACTGTCGCGCACACACATCATCTTTCACACGCAGCATCTTTCACAGTCTTTCACACGCAACTTTGTCACACACATACAACTACATGGTCGGGCGCTCATAGATGGCCGTATGGTTTCGTGCACTTTCATCTCAGTTTTGACACAAATGTATGAATGGTGATATGGCAAATCCTCCACGCTGGCCATTCGAAATGCATGTACAACTTCACATGTCCGTGTTCATATCTTGGCGTGTCATATTTTGACGTCGAAAAAAACTACTTCACTTGAGACACTTTCAGGTGTATTTACTTCAGTGCATGACTTTTATTTTCATCCACCTTTAATCTGCAAAAAGTTGAGACAGTTGCTCGAGAACCTCGCTTGGATTCTTTCCCAAAAGTGCATGGTTTCTCCATGCCCATTGAAACACTTCTAAAGACACATGCTCATGCAAGGTTGCGTCATCTCCTTTTTTATGTTTTCAAAAAATCAGGAAATTCAAGGAAAAAGATGTGTTGAATTCCAAGAAAAGATCTCATGACGTACCATCCCAGATGTGTTGAATTCCAAGAAAAGATCTCATGACGTACCATCCCAGATGTGTTGAATTCCAAGAAAAGATCTCATGACGTACCATCCCAGATGTGTTGAATTCCAAGAAAAGATCTCATGACGTACCATCCCAGATGTGTTGAATTCCAAGAAAAGATCTCATGACGTACCATCCCAGATGTGTTGAATTCCAAGAAAAGATCTCATGACGTACCCTCCCAGATGTGTTGAATTCCAAGAAAAGATCTCATGACGTACCCTCCCAGATGTGTTGAATTCCAAGAAAAGATCTCATGACGTACCATCCCAGATGTGTTGAATTCAAAGAAAAGATCTCATGCCGTACCATCCCAGATGTGTTCAAGTCCAAAGAACGTTATTACACCCCCCCACCCCCCCGACCCCCACCCCCCCAACCAACACCACGCCAAAAAAACAACAAAAAAAGACAAAAAACAGGTTTCACTGAGGCGAAACAAAAAAAACAAGGAAAAAGTGCGCTCTCGCTGTGGCGCCAGTGCAGTGAACTAGCAAAAACACTGTTTCGTGACGCGGCCTTCTGCGCGCGCCCAGCCAACTACATACATACATACGTACGTACGTACATACATACATACATAATACCTACCGTTTTACCTTCTCGATCTTTCACCACCTCCTTTGTCTTTCCTTCCTTCCCTGTCCCTGCTAAAACCATTGAAGCTCATTATTGGAAGAAGTTGACTTGTGGGGTTATCCGGTCCTTTCATTGATTTATTACCGAATGGCTCCCATTTCTACCCTGGCAAAACTCAGGCTTCGCGTACGTGATTCAACTTCCTAGAACGCCTGCATCACTTGCACTGCCATGGCCCAGAACCAACGGAGGCTTCCTCGCTTGTCCATTCAACAGCAGCCCTGAGAGCCCGGGCCACCAAGGCTGGTCCGAGCCTTGAAGAAATAGAAGCCATAGTCGGAAGTAATGTGAGCTCAATGGCACAATCTCACCGCCCGGCACAGCACCTTCCGAACAAGATGTCAGAGATTTCTACAATGGTAAAGTAGCTGTGAATTTGGGCACGATCACCTCGACCAAACTCCTAGTCTTTGAATGCCACACCTTGGTTGTAGCAACCATCAAAGCAGAAGTGAGCAAGATAAATGATACTTCCAGCCAAAGCACGTTACCGACTGCAGAGCGAGACAGACGCATTGCAGAGCAGCGCCAGCGCCTTGCTGGCCTACGCCTCAAGGGAGATGAAGAAGTGGCCCACACTTCCTATGACTTGGCCTTTACCATGTTGGAAAAAGATACCATCACATACCTTCACCCAGAGAAGTTCGTCACCAGAAGGGCTGAACTGTTACAGCGCTTCACATAGACTTTGGTGTGAAATGGAAGAAGCTCTGGAACTGGATGGCCCACTTGTTGCAGTTGCCATCGTAGACGACGCTCAGAGGCATGACGAACCAACATCGGCCACATCTCCTCGTTGATGTTGTGGGCCTTCATCAAGATCTTGGCATGCCGTTTGATCAAGCCGATTTCACACTCGGCTCGTCCGTTGCTCTTCCAATCGCTTCCACATGTGTATGTTGCCACTTTATCTCTGTGATGGCACCAACGTTGAACTGCCCGGGATGTAAACTCTCGTGCCCGGTCTGCATGTAGTCGCAGCACCTGAAGTCCAAGGCTTCGCACTCGGCCGTAAATTTTTGCTATGCCTTCCATGACATCAGCAGTCTTTCGTGAGTGGATAACCTCTGAGAACGTGAGAGTTTTGACTTTCACCTGTTTGCATTCCTCCACCAACTTCATCCAGCTGTTGTAAGACGCTTGTGCTGCATTCATTGCGTCCTCATCCACTGTATTATGACCTACCTCATCACCCTCCTCAAAGCGAGGAAATTCAACATCTTCTACATCATCATTCACTCCATCCTCTTCGATCACCTCATCTAGGGATGGTAGCGGAGCATCCTCTGGTGGTGCTGCATGACCTGGGCCCACCAATGGATGATCATCAGCTGTGACAGGAAAAGTATGATGTAGCTTCCTGTATGCCCAAGCTGATCCTTCCCACGTTTGAGTCGACCTGACAAGTCCATCGACAAACAAAAAGCACCAGGATGTTGTACCCGCCGATGATGACGAGATTGACCTGCAGCCTCAACGCACACTTTGCAGTCTCTTCTCATGGGTTGATGATCTCAAAGGACGTGCCGCTTCCATTTGTTCAGAGCGACTTCTGATAAGGGGCACAATTGCGGCTGTCCCCGTTGGGCTCTCGTGCCATCAGTCTCACAGTCCCAGTTTGCCTCCTCCGCATTGCCCGGTGCCCCAAGCTGGCGACAGCCCTCTTTGTCCTTTGCAAACTTTCTCTTCATCCCATCGCAGCTTTTAAACCCCGGAGCCCATGTAGCCCACGTTGATGATTCTCATCCAAACCATCTAATGTTGTGTGCAGCAGTGGTGGGTTTTGGCTTTACATGTCCATACGTTCCCTGTTCAAAACTGGTGTGACGAAACCCATACTTAGCAGCAAAACTTTTCCAAGCTGCCATTCTCCAGATGTTCATGTATCCATGCCGCTGCACATCTTGATTGGAACGATATTCTCTTGGATCTTGAGGCTGTTCGAGTGCGAACAACACCTTCTCACACCATCCCGCCTTGTAGTGCTCTGCAATGGAGTACACCAACATCATGCGGAAGAGCAACGTGACATCTTCTTCGACTTTTTCCAATTGCGCAGGAGACAAGGTTGAAAGACCATATGGTTCAGCTTCGCTTCTCACAGGTTTGGGACCTCCATCTTCAGCATATCTGCAGGCCGAAACGGACCTGCATGGTGGGCCCAATCAGGCCATGTAGCGACGCCTTCATAGCTTAATTTCATCAAGAAGAGCATCACTTGGTCATTCATCATGTCCATCTTGGGGTTGATCAACTTGTCAGCACAGATGACCACAGTGTGAGCGTCCTCTAATTTCTTCCATGTCTTTTGGTCCAGACCACTGTAGAGATGAACCACCACTCGCCGAGCTCTCAGGATTTGACGCCTTTGCCTTCTATTCCACGGCAGCTGATCTCCTTGAACTTCTTGAGTTGATGGAGCAATCTTGCGGCAGATGCTGTCAGGAAGATCTGGATATTCTCGTTTCAGCAGAACCATAAGAAGTACAGTCGGGTCCAAATTGGGGAACTTCGTCACCAACTCCGGCTGTTGCAAGATCCCTCTGACCATTGCTGCTCTAGCCAAAGACACACCGCTCTCATGCTCCAGCTCACTGATCAGGTTCATGCCCAGCTTGCAGTCGATCAACGGACAACCATTCACGACCTCCACTGGACCTCCACATCCAAATTCTTTCCATCAGGCCCTCGAAGTTGGCAATCTCCCCCGATCCAGGAAACTTTATATCCCAGTTTGGTGATCGCACCCATCGGAACAATACCATTTCCAAAACTATCATCCTGCGGTGTGGACAGCAAAGTTGAAGTTCCATGTTGGAGACGCAGTTTTGAAGTAGTACCCTGAGCAAGTGCCACAACTGTAGGTGTCGCCTCCTCCCACTCCAACCATGATGCTGCCCTTCTCAGTGCGTGGGTCGCGCCACTGTCCAACGACATTTTTCCTTCCTGGTTCTGAGTGACATCACCAACTTCTTGAAGGCTGATGGATTTCACGCTGGGTAGGTGCAACGACTTCAGGAGCAGCTCTTCTGATTTTCCACCTCCAGCTCCTTCCGGTTTCTCGCTTGTAGCAGTTGTGCCTGATGCACCCGCATTTTTCGTACCACCTCCAACACCCTTGTTCTCCTCATTGGCATTGCCAGGGGTCTTGTTTCCATCTTTTTTGATTTCTGACTGGGTGTTCTCTTTGACCCCCACCTTGCCTTCTCCTTTGCCTTTGCTACCCTTGTGTTCTCCTTTCCCTTTGGCATCTTTCTTTTCTTTTCCACCTCCAACATCTTGTCCACCATCTTGACCTCCATCTCCCCCCACAGGCGCACGTGCCTGTGCTTTCGTAGGGCAATCTTGTTGTAGATGTTGTGTGGAGCTGCAAAGCCAACATCGTAAGTTCTTGTCGCTCACATTGTCCCATGAGTGTGGCCACCGACACCCTTGTCCTTGACGACATCCTCCATCCGTCAACCAAAATTTGCACGGCCATGTTGATGGGGTGGACGATTCGCTGGACTTTGCTGTAGATGGTGACTGCAGCCCTTTCACTGATGGTTTTGCTGGGGTTTTGCATTCACTGACAATTGTGGCGGTTGGGTGCACAGCATTCTCCGCCTCCGCCAGCAGCAGATCATAGAAAAGCCAAAGGTTCTCCATGGATGGTCTCACGTCCAGGTTGTGGTTCATCCTGAACGTGGCAATGCGAAAACTTGCCTGAGTCGATCCGTTGACGATCGGTTTGGAGATTCCATCCAGTGTTCGGATCATCAGCAATGGATCCGGAAGCTGAGTGCACAACTCAGCAGCTCTGCTTGCCTTTCGCTTCCATAGACGTAGAGCAGCAACCGTTTCCTGAGCTGTTTTGGTACCTGAGGCAGTGGTTAAATCTTCTAGCAGTCGGCTGCGCTCTGCCATTCCACCTGGTTGAAATGTGCGAAAGATTCTAAAGAGTATGCCAGTGGTTGTCAACTCTCTGGCTGCAACGACCTCATCTTTGATGCCCTTCGGGATGGACTGCAAAAGGAGAGACGTCATTCTTTGATCCAATCTTTCATAGCCCCCAGAGATCTTGGAGTTTTCTGGGGCGGTAATTTGCAATCGAGCCAATGGGTCGGCATAGAGCCACTCAGAGTACTTGTCCGTGGTCGCCTGCATGAGTCTCCTCCACCAAGACGCAGCATTTTTGCATAAGTCTCCAACCAGTGGTGCAAGTTGGATCGGATCAACCAATCTCCAGCTTCCAAACTTGAATCGCGTCCTTCCGGTGAAGGCAAGAGAGGTAGAGTGATTGGAATCGCTTTCAGATCACCATCTTCGACCACATCTCGATCTCCTCGTGACATGCTACGCTGACGCCCAGCCCGATCTTGAGTGCAAAACTGCCTTTCGAAGATCTGCATCTTTAGCGAGCTCCGAACTAGGTCCATATACATCTCCAAGCTCATGCTCAATGCTAGCCCGACCTCGTGCATATACATCTCCATGCCCATGCTCAGTGCTAGCCCGACCTCGTGCATATACATCTCCAAGCTCATGCTCAATGCTAGCCCGACCTCGTGCATATACATCTCCATGCCCATGCTCAGTGCTAGCCCGACCTCGTGCATATACATCTCCATGCTCATGCTCGGCACCAACCTGACGTTGCGAGCCAACGAGACCATGATCATGCTGCATGCTAGACCGATCACCATGAGATACATTGCCATGAACATGCTGCATGCTAGCCCGATCACCATGAAATACATCACCATGAACATGCTGCAAGCTAGCCCGATCACCATGAAATACATCACCATGAACATGCTGCATGCAAGCCCGATCTGGTTGATTAAGATCACCAAGCGCATGCTCAGTGCCAGCCCGATCACCATGAAACATGCCGTGATGGCCAGCCGCTTCACTAGACATCCAACGATCGGTCATGCCAGCTTGACGTTTCATGCATGCTACTGACTCCGCAAGTTCTTTCTCCCTAGCAGACTCTGTCAAAAACGGAATGGACCAATACCCAGACAACTGTTTGTTTTTCAAAGTTTCTTGATCCAACTTCTCTTGCAGTGCTGCTACTTCCCTTTCAAGCCAAAGGTTCCTAGCCGCTCTTGGTGAGCAGACATCACTGCTCCGATTTCCGTTCCCACCCATCACACCTCGGATCTTTCTGGGAGGTTCCACGCTAGGCTCAACACTGCTGATGTCCGGAGGCCAAACAGGCAAAGCAGGTGGATCTGGTGGTGGTGGTCCCGGCGGAACACGTGTGCCATTTGGTGTGCAATGGAAAGACTCAGGTGATACCCATGCTCCATGTGATTCCATAGATGGGGTCATGCGTGGAGGTGACTTCGGCACCCATGACGGCGGTATTGCTAAAGCAACATGACGATCCCTTTCTTCCCTCATTTTCTGAAGTTCTCGTTGAAACTCATCATTCTGTTGCTGAAGCCTAGCTGTTTCATGTTGAAAGTGCTGAAGAACCTGGTCACCCAACTCTTTCTCTAACTCTTTTCCATTCATCTCTACTTTTCCATCAGTTCCCAGATCAGCCCTCACCGACCGATCCGCAGCATGTCCTCTTCGCCTCCAAGCTCTCTCAGAACGCCTCGCGGCAGCTTCCACATGTTTCTCCACACCGCTGGGCTCAGCAGGACGACCCCTTTCACTGGCAGGTGACTCAAACTGACCCACAGACTGCAAACCGCTTGGCATCTCTCGCAGTGGTTTTGGTGAGTTTTCTGGTTCATCATCATGGGGAACAGGTTGATGCCTACCATCTAAATCCAAAGGCCGCATATGTTCAAGAGCATGGTCTGTTTGAACTCCATCACTCCAGAAAGGGCATGCAGGGGGAACCGAACTGGATCTTTTCCTATCTTCCATTGCTAAGGCAGGCGTTTTGGGCTCATAACTCATAACCCTCGAAACGTCGAGGGCACGGTCCTTTTCTCTTGATAAGAAATGCCTTCAAAGATCAGATGAATATGTCCAAGTTGTGCAAATGTTCTGCAACAACAATGCGGTGCAACTACCGATGTTGTGAAACGGTGTTGTGCAACAAATGTGCTCCAACTTTCGAAAACATGAAATCGCCAAAGGGGTCCATAGATGTTGAACGGGAAAACGAAGGGTCGGGGACATTGGGTCTGCTTAGAAATTCATCCACCTCATTCTACCTGATAACAATCGTGACAGGTAGACAGTCACAATTGAAATGAGCAGATGCACGGCAACATATACAACCCAACCCCAATTCAATGCAGCAGGACAGAAACTTTGCTGTTTCACCACGATTTGTTCGCAAGTAATTAACAAGCATACACCGCCCCCTCCCCATGTAGGTCACAGGCGGTGAATGATAGAAAATATGTTAAACCTGTACTACCAAAAAGGGATCAGTTTGAAGAAAGCAGGGGAGATCGTCATTTGTTTTCCTAAAAAAATATCATCGTCACAGTATGGTATCCAGGTCCCAGTGCCACGCCACCGGTAAAAACATCGTTCCAAAAGGTGACATTGCGACCAGGCTTCCCGCGCGACAAATTCCCAAAGCAGAGTTGGAACCACGCAGCGTTCAGACGGCAGCAACTGCTAGGTTCAAATATTGAGGCACAGATACTGTCTAGTAAGTAATGATTTGCAGCTTTGACACGCACTTTTGATGGATTGCAAACACACGGGTGTTTTCATCTTCGTTTGAAACCGCATGTTAGTCATGATACAAATATTGCATCAACCAAACAAACCATTGTGACCCAAGGTGCTGGCGCAAAACGGCCCAGATTGACAACCAAACTATACGGACAAAAAATCATAAACTCGTTATTATCTGAAGCTCTTTGATGCGCTTGAGGGACCGAAAAATCAATGTTATTCCTCCAGCTGGCTGGTTCCACAAATGCGTCGGTGCGACTCGCAACGATGTCAGCGTGCGTTTTGTTTCGTTTTGTTTAGCAATCGCGGGTTTGCATTTGGCCAGAAATCTGCGAAAACCTCGTTTCCATTTCAATTTTAGAGACCGTGGCCGTGGTGAAAAAAAATTCGCGCCAACAGCTGGGATTGTTCCCGCCGGGAAACATGGCATGGTAGAAACCAAGACGCGCAGCAAAACATCCGTAGGACGATGGCCCACGTAACGGTCGGCTTTGTTGCGTCTTCTTGCGTCTCCGTGTGGTAAATGCCATGGAAACGTATCCAGGACAGAGCGTGAGGGGGGAGTGAAAATATCAATACTATTTTTTTTCGAAGAACGCGAATGTTGAACTTTACAATCAATGCACCGACATGCAAAAATATGTAGAAATTATATATATAATTTGTCCCTCGATGGTTTGCATTATTTACAAATCGAATCCGGCCAGAACATGCTAAAACACACCTCAACACCCTGCAGGTGGTACAAAACAGGCGCATCAACCTTGGATTTTTCCGCTAAACTTTTACATTGGCCACTAGTTCAGACAAAAGAACAAGTATGCATGGGGGGTAGGGATGTGAAAAAAATCATGTTGCAAGGCTTTGCATCATTATGCATGACTTGGTGTGGTTATGAAATGTTCATGCTACATTTCAAATAAAACATTCCAAAAACATAGTTTGCTGGGAATTTGTTGGCATCAGTGCTCTTGACACAGTGCTGGGAAAATTAATGGCACACGACTTACCAGAATGCTACATTTTCAGCAGCGATGCTGTCCCTTTCAATGATAGTTTTTTTTTTGTTTTGGGTTTAACATGTTCGAGAAAATACTGTCCATATACGACGGCTTGAATGCCCGCAATGAATTTTGCGATCTATGATTGCACATATCACCAGACGTATTTTGAACATTTGGTGTGGAAATGATGGTTTTTTTTTGCATTGAATTGCGTACTGTACTTTCGCAGGAATGGACAAATACAAGTGTGGGGAACGGTCTGCAGAATTACGGTTTTTTCAAAAAAACACATATAAAGAGTTGTAGTGAACAAAAAATGTTGCATGCTCCAGCCCTGGGTTGGGCACTTTCTGCTGGAGGTATTGCGTCCTTGAATGGCATATTCTTCATTTGCATAGGAATTATGTGTGACTAGTGGGACGGGGACGGGTTCAATTTGCAAAGGTCAGTTTGTATTTCACCAGTGTTTTTCAATATTTTGAACAACGAGTACCAGAATGTTGTTTTTTTCAACGTACTACATCGCGCAGTAAAATTCTGAGGCTTTAAATTGAAGGTGTTTGCCCCCCCAAAAAAATAGGCCGCATGCTGCAAAATAGTATGTATGTCTGTATATATATATATATTTGTTTTTTTCAGCGCGCCTTTTTCTGCGGGAACCTGATCCTGTGACAGTGTTTATATTGGCCTGTCCCTAGTTGTGTTGACAAATGCTATACTGGACAGTCCCCCGATCTTTTGGCAGGTTTTATATTGGTCTGTCCCCAGCGGTGCCAAATCCAAATTGCATCTTGGGGTTTCCAAAAAATTTCATTATTTTCGCTTAAGAAAAAAAATGTTTTTCGCGGACACAAATTTGTTGCCGAAACAAATGTAAACACAACGGACGGACGAAAAACAAAACGGATAGAGTTAGAGAAGAGGAAACAAATGAAAAAACAAATGAAACTTCAGCATACAAATAAAATATCAAACCAGTGGAGTGCTTGAAGAAGTGGGTTGTAGAATTGTTTTTCCTGTGGTGTTTTCACCCCTCACATTCCATATTGATATTTTCATTGAATCACTGCTTTTGGCTACTGGGCCATGACCAAACACGCACACGAAATTTAAGTTCAAATTCATCATGCATGCTTGTTGGCAACCCGTATTGGGCGCAAGATCCTAGAAAAAAATGATGCGGATTTCTTGCGGGCCGGCCGGAAGCAAACCCTCACCAATATGCCCTGTCTACCCGCGCTGGCACAGGTGCGGTGGTCCATGCACTCACAACAGCCACTCACACCAATCCCACCAACACAATTAGAAGACCGCACTGCAAGCCATCCAGCAACAACTCTAACCCACCGAGTTTTTACTGGCCTAGCTGGATGACATCTATGCCGTGGTTCAGCGCGACAGAGTCCGTGCAGTATACGACATCACACACACACACACACACCCGCATCCAATTCAACAGTGGCAAAACCCGAGTTTGGAATGCAGCCGGCGTCGCCCCGCCACACCTGGATCCCCTCGGCCCCGATGTGTGGGTCGGCGACCACGCCCTCCCCCGAGCAGCAAGGGCTCACCATACTCGGCGCACCCCTGGGTTCCCTTGAGTATGTGGCCGAACAAGTCGAACACACCACACGAAGCGACCAATGCCTCCTAGAACGCATCCCAGCCTTGGATGACCCACAAGCTTCGTGGCTACTGCTCCTCTTTTGTGCCAGGCCCCGGTGCAACTACATCCTCCGCACCACAGCCCCGGAGCTCACACAAGAGTTCGCCCTTCGCCACGACACAGTGGTGGCAGCATGCTTGCAAACCCTGCTCGGCTTTTCGGACATGCCAACAACCAGCTTAACCACAGCACACCTCCCATTGTCCCAGGGCAGCCTGGGTTCAACATCAGGAGCAGTCCCAGCGCAGCCAGCATACTGAGCATCATGTGCCGACACGTTCCCAGTCCTCCACCGTCACCCTCACCGCAAGAATCCTGCAGACTTTCCAGGCTCCCGGCCAACAGTGCCCACGGACTGCCTTTATTCAACGCCAGTCAACTGGCCATTGACACAACCCTGGTCGCCCGACTCAAAAGTGCTGGCCAACCACACCGTCAAGGCAGACAATACGCAGCCGCAGCATTACAAGACGCACGCCGGGTCAAAGAACGAGGTGAAGCGCAGAGGTAACGCACTTCCTCAGACAAGTGGCCCACATAAGAGCACAAATCTACCCCGCAACATCCGCTCCACAGCCATCATTGCATAGATGGCGAGATGGCCTGCCATCGGCTTCGCAAATCCGGGGCCGCCGGTATAGAAATGGCTTTGCACATCCGTGCGCCGCCGGTATAGAAATGGTTTCGGGAAGATTCGCTGCAGAAAAAGGTGCGGAATAAACAAAAAACACAACGAAATCTTCCGTATGTCCACAATTCCGTGCGGGTGCGAGGGTGTACCAATCATCCGTATGACTTGATGTACGATCGAACTTTGGATGTCCAGTCATGTCGGGGATGTTCTGCAACACGTGCACCGGCCGGTTTCCAACGCAGCGTTCCGTGGACCCACCTGTCAGCAGGTTAACTAGCAATGTATCGTATCATCCAAGTTCCCAATATGAATTGGAACAACGGTGTGACCATAATTTCGCTTGATGTTAACTTACGACTTGTTTGAACCTTCATGTTCCATTCGTGCAAAATATCGTGCCAGGGACACGACCAATCCTGCGCGCGGGGTGTCGACAACAGGGTGGTATTGGATTCACTTTTTAAACAGAACCCGGAAGGCTGCGGCGTGGCACGTGTTGAATACAAACGTTGGACTAGGTGAAAAACAAATCGTGAAACTGAAGCACGCAACTGCAACATTTGCAGCTAACCGAGAAATTTTCCTACAAACGCTCGGGCGCCGATTAAAGGTTGGGACTCGAAGTACAAATGTGTCGCACTCAAAGGCGTGCGCCTGACGTTTTTACGTGTTCATGCTGTGTGCCCCAACCCCCCTCACTCCAAACCAATGCTTGTGGAAGGCATTGTAAGGTTTTGAACTGTGATTCCTGACAAGGATTGTGGGACACACACTTCTACCGCACCAGCGGCGGTTGCAAAATTTGGTTTCCATAGCGTTTTGGATTTTGGCTTCGGACGCTGGGGCAACAGTGCAGCCAACGAGTTCAATTTGTTCGGCAGCTTCCAGTAAGGGTTGCAAATTTGACCTACTGAAACCAACCGCG